GTGTGCGTGCGTGCGTGCGTGCGTGTGTGTGTGTGAGTGAGTGAGCAAAATAATGTCTGTGGTTACATTTTCTTAAAGCTAGATGTAAGATTTGTGTTCTAAATTACAATATAAATATAAATTACATACAGTCATAGACGTGAACCAGCAGGACAGTATTTATGAAAATGTGTTACACATATGGTACAATGAAAGTCATCAATTACAGTGCATTACAATATTTTATTATTGGCATTTTATTCTGTATAGGAAATTGCATTATTTAAAAAAAAATTAGAAATGATAAATAGTATAGGCCTAAAACATACAGTGTGCTTAGTACACAAAAGTATCTAGTGCACATGTAGTATTATGAAATGTAGACTGTATTTTAATGAATTACAGTCGTCTTATATTGATTTATATGTATATTCATTTTGAATTCTATGCACGGGGTTTAGCTACATTACATTTAATGCAGCGCTATTGCATAAAGAACTTGCAGAAATAATCCAGTCGTCAGTCAAATTTAATTTTGTATATTACGAATATTGTTGGATCCTAGACGAATGGCTTTTTTTCACACTTTTGGATAAAAGCGTCGGCTAAATGTAAGCTAAATGTAAATGAGTAAAGTTTTTTTATATATATACATATATACAATATTTAAGTATAATGTTGACTTCAAAATTTGGTATATACTGAATTTACTCATTATATATAAGCCAATGGAAAATTATTTATCCACAAATGTAAATGGGTAGTGAAAAAAAAAACTAATTTTACTCATTTTAAAATTGAAATAGGTCACTACCTGTATACATTAGAAGAAACAAGAAATAGCAAAGCGGGAAAAAAATGTAAATTATTTTAAAGCCTTAAATCTATTATTTGAATAATTAGTAACTATTTGTACTTGTTATGGACATGTGATTTTCTTATTGCCTTTCCTATTTTATTTTATTTTTTTTAATTGTCTTTGTTTATTATTATAATTATTTTGATGCGATTTATGTTATTGCCCTTGTACGTTGGTTGTTCTAAAGATAGCAATACAAACGAAAAAAAGAGTAAAACCAGTGGGAAATCAATGGTACATTCCATTCACCCCTCTCTGGTTCATCATGGTATGCTCCCCTCGGTTTCCGGTTGGCGGCGGCGCTGTTTCCGGTGCTGTGCTGTGAGAGCTGCAGTGCGTGCGGTCCACCCCGACGACATGTTATCCCGTTCCCGCTGTCTCACCTGGAGCCTCGGCCGCTCGATCAGCGCCCTGCGGCAGGTAACGTGTGTGTGACCGGTGTGTGTGCCGCGGAGTGTCCAGAAGACCGTTAACCGTCAGCGGAATGGCGCGGAGCGGTAGGCCGCGGGCCCAAGGGCAGCAGGACACTCCACGAGAGAGAGAGAGTGTTTACATCATATTAATCACATCTACACCAGCTTCTCGTTATGATGTGCTCCTCGAGCTTTAAATACACACTGTACATGAGTGAGGTCTGCTGTCAAAGTGATCACGTGATCGAGCTGTCACGCCCAGAGAATAATAACAGGCCTAAAGCACTGCTGATACTCATGTTTGCTGTCGTGTGTTATGCTGGTGTGTTTGTTTTGTGTGTGCTGTCATATTCTCCGTTACTGTTCATGTGTCAGCCTAGTGCTGTCAAACGATTAATCGCATCCAAAATTCGATATCACGATTATATCCAATTTAGTTTGTGCATTTTTATTAAATGATATAAGCAGGCTACTTTTAAAAATAATTACAGATTAAAAATTAATCGAAACAGTTGTTAAGAACTTAACCAAATAAATATAGCTTCAAAACATGCAAGCAAATATAAAGTAATAAAGGGGGGAAAGACTATTAGAAGTGATAAACAAAAAGGACTTTTATTATCTTGTGAGTGCTTTAAGTATCCGAACGTTTACAGACAATCTTCTGAGATCACTGGCTATAGCTGAAATTAGCACCGCTTCCCAATAAGTGGACAATATACTGTAGGTCATTTTCATAATATCTGTCAGTCATTCATTTTTTCTCAGTATTAATATTTAAAATAAGTGTGTTTAATTTCAACATTTCATCTTATTTGCAATAATTTAATTGAACTATGTATTTTTATATATCTGTAATAAATCGCCACTATTCTATAGCACTTTACAATACAATTGTGGCATTGGGAAAGACATTTATGTAGATGAGAACTAAGACTGAACCACAGCTATAATTTACCAAACTTTTTTAAGAATAAGTGAAGGGTAATACATTTATCTGCTTCATTTAGTAGTTGTCGAAGTCCTCCCAGCTGCCCCATTGGTCTTCCTAACGTCCCGTTGACCTGTAGACCCTGTCAGACTTGGACATAGATGATCACGTGACTCAGATGTGTGCCTGACTGTCACTGCAGCTGTACATGCCTTCAGCACTGGCCTGTCTGTCTGTCAGATGCAGCGATGTAGTAGGGTTGTGACGTTTAATCGGTTAATCGACGTGTGACAACACCGGTATCACCGCGGGGGCGTTCCCTCTTTTCCTCGCTTTCCTTCGCTTTTAAAAGCTGCGTGCGCATTTTACTTTCACTTTCAAATCGCGGCAATTCGGAGTAAAGCAATTGCTCGTTTTTAGTTCGTTTGAATTTTCCCTCTTTTCCTCGCTTTCCGTCGCTTTTAAAT